ATTTAGCGAGATTAGTAATAGTGTCTTTCCGATTCTTCGCTGAAAATACGGTATTGAGGCACGACACGGTGTGTACGTAAGTATATCGCATTACGTGCATAAGTAACCCAACATTTGTTACGGAATAATATGAAAGTCACCGATTAGAGCGCAGTCGGAGAAAGGAGATGATTGTATCAATATTCGCGTTACAACGTTTTTTATGAGAGGAAAATAGCATTGCAATCTCATAATATGTTAACATTACGTGTAAAATAACGCTGAAGCACATACCGTGTTAACTTTCGGAAGTGAAAATATTAAGGACGTATTACATCTATTTTTGCCATGAAAAAATTATGAAAAAATTGTAGATTTATTCTAGATCGCATTTTTTTACATTTCCATTAGAATTTACTTTTACTTATTTATTTAAATAACTTTTGATCCAGGTTCTGAATCGCTGCTGAATTTTTTTGCATTATTTTTAAATGTAATTTAGAATAATGTGTAAGTTTTTCATAATTTCTTTCTTGTAAATTAAATATAAAAATTATAAAGATAAATGTAATATAATCTTGAAAGGAGCACAGTTGGATAAAAAATATTTCGTACGGTCTTTTTCTCTCGCGGGAATACATTTCGATTATTAAACCTTCGCGGCGGACACGACAAACAGGGTCGTCGATGAAACCTTGCTGTACGACCTTGCTGACCGGCTTCCCCTCTCGCTGGGACTGATCGTCCTTAATTGTAAGTGCAACGACGGCGTCTAACTTGCAGCGGACGCGAGGGATTGGCATAAGCGTGAGAATGTGCACGTACGCGAGTAAACGAAATGATCGCAGCACGAGTGGACATGGAATGCGAATAAGAATGCGGATAAAAATGAAGAATCGCTCTGGGCGACGTATGGGATAGGACTGTCTGGGATGCTCGGACTGTGATTCACCGTGCGTAGAATAAACCTGTTTGCTTTGAAATCTGGTGGACGTGCGCGCGATTAGAACGCACGCGGAAACGGGCTCATTAGTATGAGGGGAACAATCGGTAGAAACCCCGGACGACGAATTCCGACGTCTATGTCTCATCGTCCGTTTGCTTTTCAAACATGATAAAACCGCGTTCTTCGTCAGTCGGATCGATAGCCAAAACTTACGCGATCGTAAATATACGACGATTGGTCAAATATTAAACATCTTTTATCACCGGAGGGATTCACTTGAATTATAATTTTATCCGAGAGTAGAAATGATACGTCTCGTGATGCGACATAGTATATTTTCTTGGAGCAAATTCATTTGAGAATGTTTAAAGTTTTGATTTTCTCTTTTTCTGATTTTTTAAAGAGGCTTTCGATATTTCGATATTTTGCATGTAAAAGGATTCTCAAAGCAACCACTTTCGAAAGAGTGTGGTTAGTAACTTTGCATCCCAAAGTACACTCGAGAATGTTGCAAGATTTACGGTTCTTATCTATCGCGAAGGTGAATGGTCGAACGAGTGTGAACTGAAAATGCACGGCTAACTTGCTGATGAGATTAACAGAGATGTATTTATTGTACGAATTATTGCGCCACGAAGGTCTGCGGCTGTTCTCCGAGTTTTACCGCGCGAGAGATTACGAGAATTTGACCTGTTTCTTTGGATTTTTCGCCGATCGAATTCGGTCACTAGTTGCCTTAAGGCATGAAGGCCATCGCAATTACGCGAAAGGGCTCTCTGGAGAATATTGCGGTCAAAAATTGAAAATAGATTCCTGATAATCTTGAAAAACGATCACATAATTTTCTCTTATAGACACAAGGATGAAAAATGAGAATTTTTTACAAACTTATCGAAGTGAAGACTGCATAATTTTTTTGTAAGACAATCAAACTTTTTATAAGATTTGTCATGATTCAATACTGTGTGTCGAATACAACCTAAAAAAGATGTTGATAAAAAATTCCAATTTGTGTTGTTTGTTTTCAGCCTTGAAATTACATTTATCCGTGCGTCATATTTCGTATATAAGATTATTAAAGTAAAATCAGTCTATCAAACAAATTTATAATCAACTTACATAATAGCCATATTTAAATCTTCAAAACTTTTAATAACGGCAAAGTACAACGATATTCGTCATTTCCGTTTGCACTTTCTGTCGATAAACGAAAACGGAGTTTATTTGCGAAAATAGAGTTTGTCGTCATTCGACAAACTCTCTTGTCGCAAATACGCAAATCTTGTCTTTACTCAGAGGAGTATCCGTTTTCCTGCGTCGAAAAAAGTTTCGCTCGCTCGCGTGTAGGAGTCGCGCCGTTGGGATTATATCGGTACACGCGAATCGCTTGAGACTCATCTCAAGAGCGAATTTACCGCGAGATACCGCAACTTGATGCCGTAACCCGCCGTGAAAGAGGCGCTCCGGGATGAACGAGACGAACTGATTATGCAAGCGCGCGGGCCGCCTCGGCGGAGCAAGCCGGTCAATGCCAAGGTGTTCCACTTCGAGTGTTACTCTTCCCTGTCGTTCCGACGGCGCCAATCTCGTCACCGACTTCGTCTGAACTACGGGGTCGGGGGATTCACCTCGAACATTGTACACACGATGAACCTTCCTACATAATACGGTGAATATTACGTGACATGGCGTATTAAATCGGCTGGATTTCACTATGATAGGTAAATCCCCTGTGCGCAAATAGACAAAGGATTATAAGTTAGCGAGACGGTTAACGAGACGGAATGCGCGAGGTAATTCGTACAGACATGTAAATAAGCCCGAGGATATTTTTTATTAAAAATAGAATTTAATAGTTTCTATTTAAAAAAACGTGCGAGTGGCACGTTGGTATCATGGTCGTTGACAGAATAAGGACATTTAATTTCAGCTTTCCTGTTATTTATGCAATGTGTGCAACAAGAAAAACATAACAATAGAGATGTCAAATTCATGTATGTGTGAACTGTCCTAGATATATAAGAAAGTATGCATGTATAATTTGTACATAGCAGAAAGAGCGATGTTTCCAGCGTGCTAATTTAATTCACGAGTACCCTGTAGCCTGGAGCGACGCATTAATATACGGCATCAAGTGCAGCGTGCCAATTGAGTATCTAAGATAGCACGGATATCCAGATTTACCTTTCCATCTAGAAGAGATAGAGATAAATTCCCCATTGCACCGGGACACCTCACGCATTCATGTTTTAGCTTTCTCCCGTTTTATCGCTCTTACGCAAACACGCAGATCCGCAAGAAATGCAACAAATTATATGTTTGAAAATAATGTACCGCGCAACGGCGCGGTAGAGCTCGAGTTTAACACCGAGAATAGAGTGGTTATAAATTGTTAATAGGGGGTTATTAAATAAAGAAGCTGCACGAGGCGAGAGGCGTGTCGCATTAGGATGCCGCTTAAAGCCGATTATCGATTTCCTGTGTGAGAGAAGGTGCGCCCGGTCACTTTCGAGAGTATGAGCCCCAAAGTTTCTAGCGCGCGTGGCCGTAAAATCGTTACGACGCGCCGAAAGTCAAGCGGGCACAGCGTCGACGGAATTAATGCTGCTCAGCAAGCACAACGCGAAACAAAAAGGAAAGTAGTTGAAAGCGTAAATTCGATTGGATAACGAGATAGATCCTTACGATTCTTACGTGGTGGACGCGCGTCGTACGAACGGCCTCGCGAGTTACGATGTACTCGCTCGACGAGAAACGAGATATATCGATAGATTTTCCATCCAATTAAACTCTCTCAAAATATAGGAGTTGCGCGATCTATATTTCCGATAATAACGGAAATAGATACGGCCCCGGTTAAAACGGTAGTACCGTAAGCTGTAGCTGCGGATCGCGTCACGATCGCGGTGCACAGCCGACCTGACAAAACGAATGATATCAATCTTCGTGATGAATCAACGTGAGGCTGTTTTGCAAAGATCTCGTTCCCGGCCTTTCACTCTCGCGGAACTAGTGCGATGGCTCAATGCCGTTTTATCTTTAACCGTGGGACGCCTTTGATGGTCCGCGTCCAAGGTCGACTTCCGTTATATTCCAGGATATCGATACAACTGAGAAATTGCATTCGAACTTGCATACGTCGACCGCTGCGACCGGATATAAAGTTTATTTCACAACAACAATCTGTATCGCGACGTGAGAACAGATACGCGCTACGAGATAAGTATACGCTAATTATTACAAATATAAAGTAAATTGCATAGTTCGCGAAAAGCGAACTTCTAATAATGAGGAAGAAAGTAACTCTTCCCTTCGAGTTTCCAAGTAAAGCTTTCGTGTAAGAGCCATAATTATTACGTCTATCTCGAAACTAGTTTCCGACTTTTTCTAATTTGGCGAGTGAGATCGAAGTGATTCGCTACTAGCCGTAACGGCAATATCTGGTCCCGAACGTTTACTAGAGCAAGCCTCGTTGAAGCAACGTAACGGAACCTGCCAGCGGGAATCGCGGCTATCTTGCATCATACCTCGAAAAATCGCTCGACTTTCGTCTCGCGGAACAGGCGATCTCCATTCCGACGACGTGCGGCCGACCCATTTTGCAATATGTATCCTACAAAAAAAATCATCACCCGTGCTTTGTGCGGGAACTGTGCAAAATGCGCGAGGCGAAGGAACGAAGCGACTCGTCGAGTTCTCTGACACGGCTCTGAACGGCCAACAAAGCTTGAACTTAATAGCTATCGGATCTGAGCGTCAAAAGACCGACGAACCGATTCAAGATCGCAATTTCGACGAATGACCCGAGAACTGCCTATTCAGCGAACTTTATTAGGCGAAAGACTCGCGTGTTGCGCAGACGGCAAAAGTGGACGGCGAAGTGGAATGTACTATCGGCGTGATTTATGAGTATCGCGCGCTTGTTGCACAAAAAGGATTTTGTTACCGGATGGTTGGGCAATCGCGCGAATAATCCGGGCAAATGCACGGCAATTCTTTCGCCAACTGTCACGTGAATATCGCTCTGAAAAGTAAGCAAAATCGGACAGTACCGACCCCGTCGAACAGAAGTGAAAGGAACGACGACGTTACGCTTATTGTATGTCTTTCCGAAGTTACGTTGTCCCCGTACGACAGTCGGGACAGTCGCGCGTAAAACACCCTCGAAGTAATCAGCGACGCTGAAATAATGCCAGACACGAAGCAGCGATCTAATTACGCGATCGTTAATCGTACGGACCGGCCGCGACTTCCTCCTTTCCACCGTGGAGCTGCCTCGTGCACGCTTGGAAATGGCTCCACCTTCCCCGACGAACGTCCTTGGGGGGCCCGGTACACCGGGAGAGGGTGATGAAAATCCGCCAGTCACGTGTACCATGCCGGCTCGAGCGGTCGTACCGTGCCGCGGTTCCGTCGAAACGTTTCTTCTATTGAAACTTCCGCCGACCGAAATACCGAAAATCACGCGGCCAATTTTCGGCGCGTAAAGTGTTGACGAGCGACATGCGCGTGTATTTCGGGGAACGCTAATTGGAGGACACTCGCTTGAACGTGAGAAAGTCGCCTTACGTGACTTTTATATTTACGATGTACGTTGGAATCGTGCGTAGCTCGAGTGCAATCGAAAACCGGTCGTCCCGTTAGCAAAACGCACTGAAACACGATTTTCTTACAAAAATCAGTCGTTCACGCGTAGTCTTGTAAGCAGTGTCGGTTAAATGTCGGAAAGTGAGTAAATGCTAAATCGTAGAGTAAGCCCATCGATGAGTGCACAATGGAGATATCCGCGGCCAGTTTGACTTATCGAAGCGCGACGGGGAATGCAGAGATGATTTCACAAAGAAAATTCATGTCACAATTTGGACGCGTGCAATTTTGGGATCGATTTGATATTTGATACTCCGGTTAATTGAGGATACTCGAAAGTCCGAATAATAAACAAAGTGTTCACTGAAATTAATGGTGATTCTTGCAAAACAGTTGATGATTATAAGACTCGTTGGCAAATCTTTGGCAGATATTACAATACCCGCGTGCAATACTCGCGATGAATCACGCGGTGTATCCACGAGTGTTAAGGACATGTTGATGACTTTGACCACGTACATCAGTGATCGAGTGTTTCATTGATTTTTCTTGCGCGTATAAATGTCAGGTAGTTCCCGTAGATTAAGCAGTTACTTTGCGCGGAGAAATCGAGCGCACTCACGTAAAGCGTTTTACGTCTCTATCGTCGGACCGACCACCTTGCAGGTTCTCGGAGGAAGTGCATTGTGCGCATGCGGCGATTCAATTACAACGACTCAGCGACATACCAGAAGTCCTAATAAACGTTTGTCATACCGTTCCAGATGCGCGAAGAAAGGTACACCTTGATACCGCACTCGTTTAAACAAGCGCGATTTCGTACTCGCAAGAAAATCGATCGCGGTTTTGAAAAACTGTGGCAATCATGAAAATTAAAATAAACTAAAAGTTGATTATTAAGATTATTGGCTACTTAAGCTCGCGATATTGACGTACAATTATGCAATTTATAATTCTGTTACGAGTTTACAGGATATTTCAATCCAAATCGCATACCGCTTGCATAATGATATTTATATAATAACTTTCTATTTATAGCAACTGTGAAGTGAGCAATTAATTAAATATCAAAATGAGCGTAGGACGTATCCTTGGATCGTGGATAAACGAGTCGAGGAAGCTAGGAGAAGAAAAGAGAGATAGGCAAAGTTTTCAGAAAAGAGAGATAGGCAAAGTGCGACGTCCGCGGGCCTGTCGGAAGCGCGTTATCGTGTTGCTCGCAGTGGCGTTACTTCCGCAAACTTACACGAGCCGCGGGTTGCAACACGCTCGTGTTCGACGTTAATGCATCGGCGTGCACATATGCCTACAGGAAACCTACGCTGCTCGCACCGGTTCGTTACTCAGTCGCAAGTCATTACGTCGAGTCGGCTGGTACTCCGGTGACCCGTGAATGTTTGTCGAACGTTCACCGGTCTGTTCGCCAGGGAAAGGCGTGGCAGCCCCCTCAATATCGCATTCTCGTATCACCGCAATCCCAAGTGGTGGAATTAACGAATTCTCCGAATGTACGGACATAGTCTCGAGAGATCAACTGCCGATACGGAGGAGGTCGGCGCAATTCGCGAAAATTATTCTCGGTCTCACGATACTCTCGTAAAAAGCTTAAAAAGATTTCCCGAGAGATCGAATCATGATACCTTGCCATTTATATATGTTTTCCTTTTTAATATTCCGATACTCAAACCACGACTATATCCATAAAATGTTGATAATATTTTCGAGGTTTTACTGCGACACAGTTTGTAAAATGGTAATGGGAGCAAGAACCATTAGCGTAGTATCTCCGTTACCGCAAGACTAAATTGCAGGGCAGCAGTGGTCTAGGATGCGAATAAATATACGCTTTGTTCGTGACTTAGTACTTAATTGGCACCGTTGCGCAATTAGATCCTTGACATACGCTGAAAACCGCGTGCTACGTCTGTATGAATGTAATTCCGGTCATTGTGAATAACAAAATATAAACTGTTGTATGTTTGCTGCGCAACAAGTCTTTTACTGACCTATTAAATGCAAAAATCATTTCACGCGGCGTGAAGAATAAAGCGTGTGATTTAATTAACGCAGCTAGTTTCTATAATAAAGCGCATATCAAGATATACGCGAGTTTATTATTTTCTTCTTAACTCTCGCGCGCGCGCGCGATGTAAAAATAGCTATTCTCTGATCGCGAGATAAAAATACTATTTTCTGATCGTGTGTTACAAAAATATACACAAGTCGGATCAGAGATGAATAATACGAGTGTTCTATTTACAGATGACGCATCTCGCATTATCTCTGCGGAGGCTGTCACTAGCTCTAATACTGATAGCGACATGCGCGACTATAACGGAATCGTCAATGATCAGGGAAAGGAGGCACATAGGTACCGAGGAATCTAGTCATCGTAAGGAACACACGTCTGACAGTCGGGGCACAAGATTGCCGAGCAGTACGACGTCTAACAAGATCACCGCGGAACCCGGAAGAAAAGTGTCTCACCATCTGATAGGGGGTCACCTGAAAGTCGATACGAAAAGCCGTGATGACAGCGAGTCACTGTGGGACGATGGAATTCTCATGTCGGCGGCTGGCAACAGCAAGGAGGGGAAAAGCAATCGAGATCGAGGCGGAGGTGGTGGCAGCAACGACGACGAGGACGAAAAGAAAACGCTCTCTCAGCAGGTCAAGGAGGGCAAGTACGGCCTCATACAGAACGAGATTTACGGCGAACGTCCGAAACGGCCCGGCATCATCAGCTATCTCGGTAATCCTGAAGTGCCGAAGGACACAATCGACAATCTAGGTGGTCTCGACGAGGAGGAGATCTGGCTGGCCGAGAATCACGTGCTGGTATTGAGGGGCGGGAAATTTCCTGAGCATGAACAGGAAGGCCAGCAGGCCAGCAGTAACGGCGAACAGCCGAATTGGCCGCCCATCGATGATTACAAGGCGCCCAAACGGCAGGTCAAGATACCAGCGCGGCCGAAGATACCGCCGCCCTTTCCGGTACAACTTACAGAGGGGGGACCGGTACAGATCATCGGTCCGAATGGTACCGCGGAGGAAATTGGCAACGGTACCCTCGACTACAGCACGAATCCTCTCTACACGAAGGGGTTACTACCGGGAGAGGGTCCGTTCTTCGCCATATCTCCGAACGGCACGGTATACACCCCGGATCTCGGCTTCCCGGGAAACTTTTCCATCGATGAGAAATCATCCAGAGGTAACAATGATCGGAACGGAATAAAACCGGAACCACCTCCGTTGCACGGCGCTCTTCCGCCTTTCTATCACGCCATACCGCCCGGCGCGATTTTCGTACCGCCGCCAGGCAACCAGTCAGATTATGACGAAGAGGATCAATCCATCTACTATCCGCCGCCGTATAGTTTCTATTATCCGCAAGATAATACGACTGCTGTGCCGCCGGGCCCCCTGGTGCCCGGCATTATATTACCGCCGCCGCCGGATTTCTTTTCTGCTCTAGACGATAAGAAAACTACCACGAAGAAATACACGAAACGACCGACGACCACACCCTCGCCAGAGACACGACCAACGTACTTGCCACCGAGAAAACCTACGACTAAACAGTACAAGACTTCGTCCGCTCTACCGAATGTGATAACGAAGACAACTACCATTTCATCGATTTCAACGAAAATATCCTTCGGTCGTACAACGGCGAGGAACGCGACGAGCACTTTTAAACCTAAGCAGAAAACCGTAGAAGTCACGACATCTGGAAAACCGCACACTCTCGAGAACACCGAGAAATATACCATAAGCCCCATAATTGGGAATCAGGTATCCGAGGCGATGATCCAACAGAAGGATTGGTCCTCTCTGGTGACGAGCAAGACAATCCCGGTTCTTGCTTATTACCCGTCAACCACGCAGTCATCGTTAGAACGACCGGTGGAGGTGACACCGGCTTCTATAAAGAGCATCATCACTACCAGTCAGCCTGGTCGATCTTCCAATCATGCATCCTATTACTTCTACGAGGAGTCGACCGATGAGAATTCGGCCGTCACGGAAAATCCATCGCCCGTTTATTACGAGAGTACCACTACGAAATCGCCATACTACAACGTCGAGACGTCACGACCTCGACAGTCTAATCAGAAGAAGCAGTATTACACTGTTGAGACAATCGCGCCAGTTGAGATTCCGAAGGATGATTACAAGGTGAAGCTCATCGATAGCATCATGAAGAATTCGCAGACGTTCCAATACACTGACGATTCGGAGACTACATCCGCGAAATTCGACGTTAGCTCATCTCGAGATCAGAATCAACGTATGTTAGCCGATCAAGCGCCCGTGTATTATCAGCCCGTTCCCGCCCGTCCATCGCAGACATACTACACGAGTCCGAAGCCTCAAACGCACTATCGACAGACAACGAAGTCTAAGCCGATTTATCAATACAGCTTTCAGATAGCGGATTATTCGAAACTTAATGGCAATCAGAGATCGCCGTATCACAGGGAACAACAGCATCAGCAGCAGGATGCGTCAGCGTACAACGAGTATCAGGACGTTAAAACTGGTAATCGGCAATACGACTACGAGGACATCGATTCCCCGTCGCGGCATCAATCCCCGCGGAAACATGTACCATATAAGACGCAGCATCCGGCTTATCCCACGAGCACTGCCTATCCGATCGTAGATACGACGCCCAATCCGCAATATGCGTATTTCACGCAGCAGGACGAGAAGTTATTGGACGACGTTACGAAAGAGTACTTCACGATCTTTGGCAAGAAACTACCGGACACGGGCACGGTATCGAGCACGACTCCGATCTATGGGAAATCGAGCACCGCCACGGAGAAACCCGACCATAACACTTACTCGTCAAATGTTTACAAGATCGGTCGACCGGTAACTTACAAAACACCCAACGTCAAAGTGCACTACGGAGATCAGTCGCACCGACCCTACTCCCTCAAGGACGACACCCTCGTCAACTACCGGCAACCCTTGCCGCCGATCAATCCGGACAGCGAGTTCATCGAGATAATTGAGCCTAAACATCGGCCGGAGCAGCCGCCGCCGTTACCGAACGGCTACGAATTGCAGACGGGAAACTACAGATTGCAAAATCAGAGAGTTCAACAGCATGGACCGACCCCTCGTTACAGGTTACGAGGCACAGTACAGCCGACCAACAGACACACCAACAATTTCATGCCTATCTCCGAGTCCCGTGAGGCACTGGAGAACGTTCAGGCACCTCTGTCGCTGTTGGACGACATAGAGGTCAACTACAGGAATCCGCGTCCTCCCATAAATCCCGATGCTGAATTCATCGATCCCGTCTCGGTGCAGGACAATCATTCGGACAACCCGAACGCGTATTTCGCGTACCGACTACCCGACAATGTCGGCCACTTTTACTTCCTGACGCCGCAGGCGATCACGCAACGGCAGGATCAGAACGGTGGATACGTCTATCCGAAACCTAGGGGACCGAGATTACGGAAACGGCGCCAGGGTAACGTTTGAATACGCGCGTATCCAACGTACGACAGTCGCGCGCAATGCCATAATCTCGCGGATGTCCAACGCGCGGAATGATCGCGCGTCGCCTGCGTGCGCGCCGGCCGCACGCACACATACGTATATTATTAATATATTTATTGTACTTGTAAATACGAATTGACTAAGTTAGATAATTATAGCTATGTTGTTTTACGATAAACGCTTAATTTATTATTACGCAACCTGACTTTCCTGCCTTAGAATAATAGATTCAATTATATTCGTGTATGTGACCTGTAGTGTGCACCCTCGTCGCATATTTGCGCATTATCTGTGATTAATGATGAAATTACACGTGTACATATACGTAGTATTACGATTATCTATTGCACATACTTTGATAGATCGCGGCTCTCTTTCGCGAAGCTTTTTCCAAGTTTTTCTCCGCATACGGAAAAAGTTGTAACAAAAAATATATATGAAATAATAAGTACTAACTAATTTCTGCTGTAATTTAAATTTTAAATCTTTTATATGAACCAATAATATCATCTTGCCTATCAACTATTTATATATATTCTATTCTTCTTTTGTTTTGTAAATATTATATTAATTTGTGTTTATAATTCTTCAGAGATATTTCTCAAGCAATATTGTACAAATATGTCAATAAAGATCACATTGTCTATTCAATCAAGATATAGTTAATTCGAAGACTTTTATACAACTTAATTGGAAGAATTTTATATGTACACATGTCGCTGTATAATTAGTCTTAACGCTTGAATATACACAACAGTTTACAAAACACGAAAAAAATCTAATATTTTCATTAAATTTAAACTTTGTGCATACTTTGTGCGATTAATTTAGTATGGATTAAAAATTTATTAAAATTTATATTATGTATTATGACTGTATTCAAAGATATCTTTCTAATGAACGATAGCACTCACCAGTGTCGATTTCTTGCGTTTGCGCCGGATCAGGCAAAGGGTAATCATGTAGTCGCAGATAGACCTCCATTGCACATTTCGCTGCTTTGAAGTAAAATGGATGAGCTCGGAGAACATCTTCTAACCTTAAGAGACCCACGTAAGACCGCAATGTCATTTTCCGCATACAATATGTATGAAAGTCAAATTGGTCCTCTATTATTTCCGAAAAATGCTGTATAAATAATATATGGCGTTACAACAAGAAATTATATAATATTATAACTTTAAATGCATATAATATACTACTCACCCTATCTACTTCGTGACATTTCTTCAATGCCTCTCCATATTTTCCAAGACGTTTGTACGCATTGGCTGCTTCTGTTTGAATCCACATGCACTGCATTTCATTCAAATTTTCCATAGCTAAAACTCCTTCTCTTGTGAATTTCCCACATGTCTCCTCCGCTTCTTTAATAAGATTCGCACGGAGCATGTACTTGGCACATTTAGAGTTAATATATCGGTCAGCTGTATCTAACCCCTGTGCCTCGTCCAGCCATTTATAAGCTTCTTGAACATTTCCAGCATGCTGTTAATATAAAAACTTTTTATAGATCGTATATCTCGCATTATTCCTTATAAATATATGTATATTAATGTGAGATACCAGATAGCTCAATGTTAGAATAGCTATCTATTAAACAAAAGATCCAGGTTCAAATCCCACTTTGTATCTCATGTCAAATATATAACATTAAGAACTTTGTTTAAAATAATATTCTACTAGACTAAAAACAAAATACTCCTAAGAGACATGAATTTAAGATATTTGTAAATAAATAAGTCTTCTTTTATAAAAATAATTTCCTTTCTGAAAATGATGAAAATGTTTATAATTTCTTTCTTTAAAAAATGGAAATGAAACAAGATCATATATTTCCAGAGATTGTAGTACCATAGAATAATAATAGTAGTTTATGTAAAATTATGTAAAATAAAGTTATATATAAATCTACCTTATAAATGCGTCCTTTGGTAACAAAAAGTTCTATAAGCGTAGGAGTATGATCTATGGCAGCGTCAATTTCAATCAATGCCTTCTCAGTTTGACCGAGGTAATCGTAATGTTGTGCTAGATAGTAATAGGTCCATAACAAAGCAGATGCCGGTTCTCTTGGATTATCTTTCTCTTGATCGCTAAAATGACCGTGAAGTTTTAATGCCTCCTTGTATTGCACAAGTAGAGATGATATGATTTCGACCTTTTCCTTATCGGTGTATAACGAACGAAGGTTTACAAATAACGGCGGTATGCCTTTGTGAAGCCCTATAATTAAACACAAATTCAATTAAATATATATAATTATTTCTCATTGAAATAAATAATTAGGAAAAAGATTTTTTTTCCTTGTATAAGAAAATTACCTTTTCGTAAATATCGATCAACTAAAACTTTAAATTCATCTCCTGTCGCATAATTGAGCTGCAAACGGCGTGGCGCTAACGCACGAGGGAAGAGTTCTTCATATCTTTGGAGCATATGTAATGTTTCGCTTGGCGAAGTGTGTCTCTCAGCCTCTGCTAGCCTAGTATAATATGTTGTGTTTTCAGGATTAATATCTAATAGCTCTTTATAAACTTGCTCTGCTTCTGCGTATTGTTTCAATTGAAGTCTTAGTTTACCTAGAAAATGATTTAGAAGAAATATTAATTACATATTACATATAGACTTAAATTTTTAAAAGTATTACTTAAAAAATATTGCGCTTACCATAAGTCTCTTTGACAGTAACTTTGTCACAAATTTGATCACTATACTTGTCTAAATGTTTCAATGCCTGTTCACACTCTCCTGATTCCTGGATGACCATATTTTGATATAATAACAGCTCGCTATGTTCATAATCATAACATATCTGTAAAAAAGTTATATATTTTTATATTTTTTATGATATTGTTACCGTATTGTATATCATAAAATATATATATATATATATAAAACATACCATTGGAGAATTTCGAAAAGTATCTAAAATTTTCAATGCCATCTCATAATCTCTTAATAAATGATACGAAATAGCAAAACCGATCCAAGAAGCTCGTTGAGTAGGACGTAACATAAACAATTGATATCTGGTATCCTACAAAAATATAATTGATATTCATAAATATATAATTATAAAAGTAGTATTTTTAAATAACATTAGAATATAATGTACATACAAGAATATAATGTACATATAATGTACATACAACAGAATAAGATTAAATCAGATGAAATGACTTGTGTTCTTTAGAACATTTACCTTGTAACCTTCCAGATCCCGCATCTGGATTTGTAACAATGATAGATCCCTAAGAATTTGAATGTTGTCCTTATCCCATTTGAGCGCATTTCTGTAACATTTGATAGCCTCGTCATACTTCTTGTCAGAGCGCTGTAGAAGGCCGTAAACATGCCAGCAGACATGGGACTGTAGATCGTTCCTGAGGCCACGGCGCACATGATCGTAAGCTTCTTCCTTGCGGCCTAAGCAGTTCAGCGTGAGACCCTTCATCGCCAAAGTCTCTCCATGCTCGCTGAATTTGGGATTTGACAGGATTTGTTTTGCGAACTTTAGCCCATTTTTGTATTGTTTGTGTTCGTAGCATCTCTGCAAGAAACATAGAATGAACAACATTGAAAATACATTGTAGGGTTAAGTAGGAGGGGGGGAGTTTCGGTAGTCTCTGTATCCCGCATTTGTGCGGGATTTACCAGGCCGATCGTCACGGCGTGTCGCCGGGCCATGACAGCCTTTCGTTTGTAACGTCGACTAGGCAACCGCGTCGCGCGGTCGCCAGTGACCTTTTTCCCATTTTTCCCCCCAAGGAATGCTTTATCATTAGAGCACGACGAGTGCACCTCGCTTGCCGGAGTGGGGTCCAAAACAGAGTATTTTGATCGGCCGTTACTCACCAGGATCCGCTTGAACAGGGCATTTTCTTTGGGTGGCAACGGGTTGCTGGAGGGCATTTTTGTATAACTACAAAAATAGGGGGCCTTTTCCACCCGGTAAACTTAATTTTACACCACAAAACCTCGTGGCCACAAACGAAGAAGTCGATCCTCGATCACGTGATCATCCGCGACAATGCTGTTCCGCCGGAAGCGCTTGCTGCCACAGTGCCGCACGGTTTAACCAGTCGTTAATGCTTCGATTGATCTCCAATCGAGTTCGAGACGATTGCCCGCTTCGAATGCATGTGTCGCGATAATACTGATAAACTATATATCAAAAGCAAACTTCTATCTCCGAGTTCCCTCATTTCGCTAAAATTTTGTAATACTGAAATCGAAACAATTTTATGAATCCTACCATTTCCATGAAACGTCAAAAAAAGATTTTTCAAGCCACGCGAAAGTTAGGCCCTGCGCACAATGGAGGAAATATTAGGGACAGGAATAAATATTAAATTTCAGAAATGAAAATTCGGAATAAAAATTAAACGTTACGCACAATGGACACAAGTATTAGATATAGTTATATCTTATATTATCTTATTTGTCTATTGCGCGTTATGTTTAATCTTTATTCCAAATTTTTATTTCCAATATTTAATAATTATTTCTGTTCCTAATATTTCCTTCAGTGTGTGCAGGATCTTACAAAATGGCAATATTAAGGACTTAAAGAAGTGAATAACAAATAAAAAAAGAAAGTTCATCGAAAGTATCATAGGTCTGTTCTTTTCAGCTTCTTGCACAGTTCATCTTTTCTCTTTTTTTCTCTAACATGGAAAGAAAAGGAAGAAAGATGAACTATTTAAAAAGTTCAACCGAAAAGACAGACTTTATGGATCATGACTGGATAATGCATGTTTTATATACATACGTAGAGACACTAGTAGACCTATACCAACTAAAATGTGGTTATAGCCGCTCTCAAGCTTCTTTCCGATTTGGGTATTTTTTGTAACTGAACTAGTATACACTCGTTGTAAAATGACATAAATTTAACAAAAACGAGATAGAAAATTTTTTAACCTAGTGCAGGAACAGAAAATAAAATTACTCTGTACTAAGCTACTAGGGCTGCATTTCAAAATTCACTGCCAGTACTGAAAATCTATAATATACGTCACCTGAACTATATATTTTCAGTACTGGCAGTGAATATCGAAACGTAGCCAATTCGTCGAGTCAGTTCGTTACTCAGTCCTTTTTAGGTGCAGGAAGGTGTAGATATACACCATATCCCTAAACGACTATTAGAAGTTAATTCTTCGAAATATAGCAAAATCTTATAATATGCATTATATGTATTATAAATTTCACATAATATTTATGCGATATATATGTGATATAGATTCGAGAATCCTAGATCAAACAAGAAACATAACGAGTATCTCAAATATTATTTGATCCTTGTTGTTCACCAAATGTTAAATAAAGATAAAAAAACTGAATTGGAGCATTCGGATATATTCAAAACGTTGCTCCTTGTCTTTCGCCACCTAAGTTTTCGTGAGAGCGAAAAAGATACACACTTGACAATCTACACTTTTACACTCAGAAAAAGAAGCTAAGTGCATCGTGTCACGATTTACCACGTGAATGTCTACATATTGTATTTAGAATTGTGCTCATACATTCACGTGCATGCACATACAATTGAACATAATTATATACACACGCTTATATATATATATATACATAGAATATTATTTAGTTCTAGACTGCAGAATTAGCGGTAGACAATTTAGTAGATAATTAGTAGGTAATTTACAGTACAAATATGAAGGACTTTTTCAATAAATTGTGTTCGATATTATTGGAAGAATACTTTGGCCCTAACGTACAACGTATTGGTAATAATTTATTATATGGCACAAAAACATTGAGTGCATTACGCCTTGGAACGGGTCTACCGGTAGCGAAGGTAAATAATATATTATACATATATCAATAATAAAAATTGTAGAATAAAAAATATATTAGGCATTTATCATCTTATATTCAAGTATTTTATAGAGTTCTATTTTGTTAATATAATAAAATGTTTTCATCTTTTAGATAAAAGAAGGATTATGTGTTCTTATAAAATATGGTTATGTCACATATCATCGAAATAACTATCAAGTCGAGTATACTTTACATCAAAACAAGATTATTACGCTTCTTCGCTATCCAAAGTATTCTTATATATTGAAATAAGAATTTTAAATATTGTATTAAAAAATATGACTCGTCTCATGTATTAAGAATATTAATTATTGTATTATTTTCTATAGATATATATTTTTTGTAAAAACTTATTGCGGAGACGAGGCCGAGATTATGTTGGAAGAGGTATTAAAACATGGGTATATTACAGCATCTGCAGTAATAATAGAGACATATAAACGAATAGAACGGACACCCTCTAAGTGTATGATTAAAAAATAGTACATCTCTATATTTAATCTTAATTTCCTTTAAAAATAATATCCCAATATTCTTTATTTATTTCTTGCATGATATAATAAAGTATTTGTATTAATGATCAATGTTTTTTCAGCTGCTCAACCACCTTCTATTCCAAATCTAAAAGATGTATTTGAACTATTAGTAAAAAATCAATTTTTAATGCATAGAATATCTTTTGAAACAGGAGCAGAGAATACTGAAAAACCTAATTATAACTTACCAAATCTTGATGTAACAGTCATTTCAAATATGTTGCAAGGACAAAATGCTAAACCTATAGATAATGGAATATATTGGAAAGTAAATTTTGATCGACTTACTCAAGACCTTCGGTAAAATCTCTAATTTACAATGATTTTTTATTATAAAATATTGATTTATATTATTTATATCAGGGACCAGATTGTTATACAAGCAATGACTCAAAGATTTGATGTACATGCTGGGCAATTGATGAGACAATTAATTAATTTGATGTATTTGCGAACTGCATCTTGGGCAGCTACATCAAATCCAATTCCATATACCGAGATTAAAGAAGAAGTGAGAAAATTAAATTATGAAGAACTCGAACATTATCTTGATCAATACTTACGGCTCTTAGAAGAAGATAGTACACAATTTATTAAACGAGTCGGTGATTCTGGTGGAGGGCAATATAGCGTTAATATGAAAAACGCATTTAAACAGTTGACATGGGAAACTTTGGAGCATATCGTAACAAATAGATTTGGTTCCAAAGCCGGAAGAATTTTCAGGTGAAATTACAGATTTAATTCTTAATATTCTAAATTTTATTATAAAAAGGAAAAATATTTTAATTAAATATTTTCTCTGTATGAAAGTATATTTGACTATTTTTATGATTTTAGGTTAGTTCGTAACGAAAAGGATGTTAATTTAGAGCAAATTCAAAATTTAGCAATGATTCCAGCAAAAGAAGCTAAGTCTTTAACGTATAATTTGACACAAGAAAATTATATACAAATTCAAGAAATAAAGAAAAGTGGATCTGCGTCAGCACCGACGAAATCACCTTTTCGCTTTTGCATTGACTTAACTAAAATTGTCGAAATGGAGATTGAACATTGTTATCAATCGTTGTATAACATTATAAAAAGACGAGATCATGAATCGGCTAGTAATAAACGCATGATAGAAAAACAATTGAGAGTGCAAATACTTTCTGCCAACTTAAAAGAACATGGCGCCACGGAACAGCAGCTGGCCGATGTAATATTAACATATATTATTAAGTTGAAAGAATCGCAAAAACAGCGAATTAATAAATGAAAAAACATTTTTTTTACAGATTGCAGAAATGATGACGCCATCTGAGACTCAACAGCTCGAGAAAGCACAAAACGCAATTAAAAAACTAGCGGCTACAGAGTTACAAATAGATGAAACCTTATTTATATTAAGTATGTATTTTCGTTATCATTAAATTAAAAAATTAATTTATTTATAATAATTTAATAAATGATCATTCGCTTCTAATTCTTCATTTTCTTCTGTATGATATTTACGCATGTAAAAATGAAAGTCTTGTATTTATTCATTTATATAGTTCATATTTATTTATGTGTAATAATGATTACGCTTGTAAAATACAAACAACAAAGAGTACCTAGCTTTCAAATTATTATAATAAATATAATCATATATTTTTTATGTTTATAATAGTGCTGTTCTCTATTATGATATACAGTGCATTTGATGTCTCTATCTATGAAGAAAAGTCATCTTGGATCGCGTCAATATAAATAAATAATTGAAATTTATCACGATTTTGATATGCATATTTTGCAATAATGATCAATATATGCACACTTTTTGTCAAAACAAAATGAAACATAAAGGAGATTTAATCAAGTGACTCACAGCCAGCGTGTGATACGTTCTTGATAAGATTTATATTATGCTCGACAAAAGTATCATTATTTTCAGACATAATATTTTATTATTATAATAATAATAACTGCGAAGACATTTTAGATTTATTTTAGTAATTTTATACTGCATTATGTGCGTTCCAAAGAATGACTTTTCCTTTGTTCTATCGTATGCTTTGTACGTTCATCTTAACACTGCCGCGATGAAGACTATTCCGTTACAGGTATATGTTGAACATGTATCAATAAATAAAATTTAAATTGTGTTATCAGTAGCAATTCACCCATCATTCTAAACATATATTTTGATTTTATGCTATTGATACCGATAATATACTACGACACGAGTAGTGTTAAGATGATCGCGAGAATTTTATTTCACTCACACATTATTTGACTGTTTTTATGCTCTCTTATCTTTCACTCTGTCTTTCTTTTCACTCTCTCCTCTTTCGCTATTTTACTTTCTCTCCCGTTCATTCGGTCTCCCCATTTGCACTGGTACTCCATAACTATATACATTCCTCATACATACAAGTTTTTTTTCATCTAGAAATAGTGTCGTATACCCCTAAAACTAAAGTTGAATTTCGATAAAGCGTTATTTTATTATATTTTTTTATACCATTAACAACAACGTACATGTAAATGAAGTGAATGCTTGGAATATTGGAGAGCGGATGTTAGTGTTCACTTTTTCTTTACGTTAAATATACTATAATATTAGTAGTGTAATTCGATTTACAATTTACTATTCTTACAGTTTGCATTCGCATTGGTTGCATGTAAAGGCCAGTAAATATAATAATCGTGTGCTGATATATTATCGCATAACATTCGTGATATCTGAAAATAAAGAGATCGCCACGGATTAAATATCGTTGCTAATTTCAACGATCGTATGGACTGAAATCGCAATCGATGGAATGCAGAACCGATTTTTATTAAAGCAAACACTGCGATCAACAAAACCGAGTTAAATTTTTGATATGGGAAATATGGGTCGAATTCTACGCACGTTACATCATCAGACATCATATGACTTTATAAAATTTTGCAAACATAAAAGCGCAATTAATTTTTTTAATATTCACGACAACGAAGTTATGGCACAATTTAAAAAAAATGCAAAATAGGCAGATATTTCACCTGAAACATTTAATCTTTCAGCTAAGTGAAAAATTGCCGTTGTCTAACAGTAAAATGATTAAAAGGAAATTGAATTTTTTCAAATCTTATTTTTGAA